GAGGAAGAGGGGTCCCGGGACAGCTACAGATTTGTGTATGTCCAGAGACCATACCAAACCTCCTTCTTTGGAGTACAGTGCAGAGGGTGCCGTACTTCAGCAGGGCCAAACTGCAGATGGATGGGTGTTGAGTGCAGTAGGTACTGGGAGTCCACACTGCTGGTCTGTGAGGAGTGGAATGCTGTGGTTAGAGAGTGGAGCCAGAAGGTTGATAAGACTGTGTTGGCGGGGGCGCGCGCGTGTGTGGGGGGGGTGCACGGGAAACAGCAGGGGAGGGCAGGCGCAGAGCTGCTCGGTTTGAAGAGCTCATATCACCTGGAGCGTGTCTGCTTGGTGCTCCATAACGGTTAAGAGCTGCTCCGTGGCTTCATTCTTGCTTGCTGCGTTTTCCTTTTGGTCCCTCTTCTTGCTGTCCCGCCACTCCTTCAATTCCTTTTTTCTCCGTGGCAGAGTGCATCATAAACTTAGGCATAAAGTCCTCCTTTAGTTCTTCTTGGACGTTTCCTAATTCTTTGCAACCATTCTGCTGCTGCTAACAGAGAAGCAGGCTGTGCTCTGTGAAGTTTAAATGCAACATTTTACAGAAGCAGTATTGTTTGCATAGACAACAATTCAGTGCTTTAAAACACAGCCAGTACTCACACCCCAGTCATTAACTGGCGGACTCCAGGCAAGCACACAAGCTGCAAGACCCCCAAAATGGTGAGTAGCCGCAAGAGCAGGGTAAATCACTGTTTCTGGACCCTGCTGTACACTGGGCATGTGGCTCTTGGGCACTTGGAAAGCCAGCACTGTAGGGTGGGCCTGAATCATTCTTGTCCCCACACTTTCCACAGAAGGTGATCATTATGGAAGATATTTCGCTGATGTGGGTGAGCGGGGAATCAAAGGAGGGTCTTTCTCCAAGACTACGGCTTCCGCCCTGGCCCTATGCGGCTAGCCTGTATGCAGCAATGGTCTCCCCCTCCCCAGTGACAGCACAGTGGCGTGGGAAAGTTACAGTTAATGGGGCAAGAAACAAAGCAGCTCAGGCGAAGAACCTGCAGCAGTGGATTGCCAAGTATCTCCACAAGAGTTTCCTGGCGATCTCTGAGGGACATTCCCATGAAGTGAGGGAATCAATCAACAGCCTATTCTGCCACTCAGACTATGCATGCAGTGGAAGACAAGCCTGCTTTCTGCAACCCTCCTGCCCCCAACAACTCACTTCAGCAATTCCCAAAAATCAGATCCACTTAACAGGGGTCTCCTGTCCTGTTTGTGCTTCGCCAGTCTCCGACTGCTGTGACTGGCTAGCCTTCTCCAGGGTAGAAAAGAGCTCCTGGCTGCATGCATCTCTGGCCTCCGAGACATCCTCTGCCTCTGGGTCCCCCTTCCCCTCCCTATGCTCGTCCAAGCTTTCCTCCTCCTGGCTCAGTCCACTCTTGACTGGAACAGGAGCCACCAAAGTATCCACAGTGGCCTTTGCAGTGGAGGTGGGGTCGCCACCGAGTATTACGTCCAGCTCTTTGTAGAACCAGCAGCTCGTGGGAACAGTACCGGAGCAGTGGTTTGCCTCCCACGCCTTGTGGTAGGCGTTCCGCAGCTCCTTCACTTTGACCCTGCCCTGCAGTGTGTCTCGGTCATGGCCCCTTTCTGTCATGCATCTAGAAATCTGTCTGTAGGTATCATAATTCCTATGGTTGGAGCGCAGCTGGGACTGGACAGCCTCCTCTCCCCAAATGCTGAAGAGGTCCATCAGCTCGGCATTGCTCCAAGCAGGGGATCGCCGGCATCACCGAGCAAACAGGAAGGGGACTTTCAAAATTCCAAAGGAATGTACAGGGTGGGGATGACTGTTGGGCACTTGAGGGCAGGGCAGTAGAGTTCAAACCAATGACCAGAGAGGTGAGAACAGGCATGGGGGGACACCTCCCGGAGGCCAGTCACAGCGCTATCAACCAACCAGGGTATCTACACTGGCACCGCAGCACTGTAGGCCTGGCACAGGAAGCCTTACGCCTCTCGTCGGGGTGGGTTTTTTTACAGCGCTGCATCTGCACGATTTCTGCGCACTAAGTGGCTTGGCAGCGTGTACACCTCAAGAGTTACAGCACAGAAAGCTGCTTTACTGCGCAGAAACTTACCAGTGTAGACAGGGCCTTAATATAGCACAAGTGTCTTGTTTAAAGGTCATTTCCTTTTCTTCACCCCTATTTAGTCACTTCTAAGGAGAAGATTTTAATGCTTCTGATGACCTATGGACACAGGGAAATCTAAATTTAACAAGGCTTTTTATCTGCCAGACACTATACAAGCACATAGATACTATGTGTCTCGTTCTTTAGCCATGCAAAACTGGTGTTTTCTCACTGAACCTTCACAGTCTGAGCCTCATTTCAAATTAAATACTGGAAGTATTCTTCCCAGAGAAAAGCAAGAGTTTTACAAGATGACATGGGCCTGAGCTAACAAATTCAATTCTGGTTTGGATTCAATGGTGTTTGGATGCAACATTAGAGTTGGACCCCTCTGTACTATTAATAAACACCACAAATTTATTATTGTTTCCTAGAGATAGAAAGTCCAAATTACTACCTCTCATCTTTTTAATGTCCCCTGCTTCAGTGGCATAGAAATCAATGGAATGGTGCCTGTATTAGCAGGAAATTCTGTTCTACTGAGTGGGTGGGGATGAGTGATTAGACAGTTGCTTAACCCCAGAAATCTTTTTTGTGGTTCCTCTTTTTCTTATATTTCCGAGAATGCTTTTATTTCTTGTTGGGTCAAATCGTGAAAATGCTCTGACAAGCAGTGTTGCCGAGTTGAACATGAGGACTACCAAGGGTAACTGTATTCGCAGCAGCAAGCATTGGCAGGGTTAGACTCTCAATCCCCATGGTACTACCAGAGACCCACTGAAAGGAAGTTTGGTGACCTATCAGTGCCCTACCTCACAACTGCTGAAACAGCATAAGCATGACAGAAGTAATTTCCAACAAACTAAAGATTTTTAGTGGCAATGGTCTATAGTACTGAGTCATAAGATTGTAGTTTCAATAAATAAAGCCTTTTCTGAGACAGAAAACTGGAGCAATAAACACAAAGTTTAGGCTTGCAAATGCTGAGATAGTCAGTAATGGTTCAGATGAAAAGGCCCAGGATCCAGCAGATGTTGAATCTTTTTCTTTTAAAGTGCAATTGCTACTCCTGGGGTAATTCTATGCTACTGCACAGTGCAGAATTTGCACAGAATTAGAGTTTTGTGCAGAATTTCATTCCCCTCCCCGCAGAAATGGGCTGTTGGTTGCCACTGGAGGCTGCTGGACCCGGCAGTACCCAACTTCCTCACAAATAAAGGACACTGCCAGGTGCAGGGAGACGGGGAGCCAGAGGATTCCTGGCAGCTCCTGAAAGAAAGAGGTGATGTATGGGCTGCAGCCTCACAGTGAGCCCAGCCCAGCAGGGATGAAGGCCCTGGGCGGTGTCAGCCCTCCACAGCCCAGCACTGAAATAGTCACAGGAAACTCCATACAAGCCTGGTCTGACCAGCACCAAGCTGTTTCTCCCTCTAGATCCCTGGGCGCGCGCGTGTGTGTGTGTATCTGGCCCCATGTCTGGGCTTGGGGGCAGGGGAGTGCAGTTGTCGGGGCCCCCCATGCAGCCCCCTCCCTACACCTCCCAACTACACACACACCCCCTCCAGCTCCTCCTTCTATTTGAAAACCCCTAAAGGGGCAGGGCGAAAAAAAAGGAGAACAGAATAAAAGACCGGAGGGGCAGAGTTTTCTCTCAAGATGTGTTCAGCTGGCACATGTGACACACACAGATGGAGATGCCCAACAAAAGCATAACAGAAAAACAAGGGTTTGTGGGAATTTCTTTAACTCTCTACTCCTGGGGGAAATCTTTTGTCGTCTGCATTATTACAGACATACTTGCTGACAGATAGATATTTTGAAATAAATTACCAAAATAACTGAAACTGGAGTGACTTATTTTCACAAATAAAAGTTGCAGAATTTTTTTGGCACAGAATTCCCCCAGGAGTGAACTGCTCTGGAAATACAGTGATACGACCAGCTTACTCAGAACTAGGGAGCTCACAGTGTCCTTAGGATTAAGAGAGTCATGAAAACAATTCAGAGGAGAAGCTCAATCATGCTAATGAATGTAGCAAGAGTGCTAAGCAGTCAGGATTGCCTTTTCTAGTTTATGGTAATACAAAAATATACCTGCTTTGGAGAGAATATATTTAACATGCTATAGCAAAATACGCTTTGGGTGTTCCTCCAGGAATACATTCATGGCCCTTTCATTTCACCAAATCTTGCTCTGAACTGAAACAGAGCAACAGCCTTTTTTTTTTTTTTTAAATATCTTGCAAACTGTTCTTTCACATTCTTAAACCATTCCACAATTAAAGAAAAATGCATGAGTGGAATGGACATCCACAAAGGCCTCAACAGCATTACACAACCCTTACTTTAAACAATATTTAGAAGCACCTTAAAAGAAACACTACGCGTATACTCATTTTCTAGCAGAAACTGGGATCAAGATCTCTCCTCCCTCAGATTCTCTTCAGGTATAAAGCCAGATTTGAATTTAATAGAGGACTCAAAAAGGAACATTATAAGGGTTTTTTCCCCTTGATACTAGTCATGACCTATAAACGTGGCATGATTTTTAAAATACTGTTTATTTAAATATAGTTAAAATCTCTCATATAGATATGGATTTCAAGCAGGATCTGTATTCCAATCACATGGGTGCTACACTTGTATTATGAAAGACTCCCTATGGCAACGGAAGGCTTCCAATTATTTTGGATTATTTCCTGTGCTTTTGGAAAACGGATTATTTACTCCTACAGCAAGTGTGCCAGTGACTTGGTGGATGAGCTATGTAACCGTACAGCAGCTGCTGTCACGAGTCAATAATAAAAGGCACCACAGTAATTGCAGTGTTGATTTGTTTTCACTTAAAAGACAGATCACAAGCATTGTTTTTTCTTACAGGTATTGAATGCCTGCTCTACTATCTCCCACTCGACCTCCCAGTTTCACTGGATCATTAAAGTCAACAGCCTTCAGATGTTACTGCCCTGGAAGTGGATTTTGCCCATCTTAATACAAAAGTAACGCTCCAGACATGGTGGAAGAAGAAAACTGTACAGTATTTGACCTGTGCTCTAAAGTCATGCATCTGCAGCCATAAGACTAGAAGATCTGATTATTGCCAGCCATCTAACAAAAGAAGAATATGCCTGAATACCCAAATCTGTATTTAGGCACATCAATTAAATAGCCTGATTTTCAGAGGAACTGAGATTTTCGGAAGAGCTCAGAGCACTCAGCTCCTCTGCAAATCAGGCCACTTAATTCTGTGCCTAAATATGGATTTGTTATTCAAATTAAAAATACTGGCCACAGCACTCTGAAAGCAGTCACTCCCATAATCACTTTATAATAAATTACTCTCAGTATTAGTCACACTTTGGTTAATACACATAGCATTTCTTTTATATGGTGTTAAAAATTTATAACTTTCTATATTAAACATCTGCAGAACCATAGTATGACAACTATTCCTTTAGAAAAATGATCAATAGTTCTCTTATAATTCTGAAGCACCTTCATCCTGCCAAAACAATAGATTAACTTACCAGTGAAGACAGTCAGAACATTTGCTAAGAAACAGCTGGATTCATTTATGCTGTTTAACCTCAAATATGGCTCTTTTTTTAAACTTAGCTAAGCTCACTTCCTGTTCACACCGTGAATATTGAGACACCCAAAGCAGGACATACATACAACTACATACTGACAGGGCTAGCAGTCTCATTTCCTTTGTGGCTTCCAAGACTAAGGCTGAAACAGTCTTGCCACTGGAAGATCACTGCACTTTTCAGAAGAAGTCACCACACTAATAAAACCCTTTGAATATACACATTTGAGTAAAGACAAATAGGAGGGTGGGAGCCTCTTCACTTACAGTATCTATCGCTTTGATTCTCTTTTCACTGCTACTCCAAAACTTTTCACTGTCCTGCGTCTTTAAATGCAAGTGCCTGTCCTCTCTGCTAGAGGGCAGGGCTGCAAGGGGATTCAAAAAAGTATCTGAGAGACAGACGCACACACTAACAGATGGTTTTTCTGTTTCCCTTGATCTAAAATACGTATTTTGGTCTTTGTGTAAGGAAATATAACAATCCTTTCTACTTCAAGTGTATCATGTCATAAGATTGTCAGACATAATAAAGGGTGTCTATTGACCTTTCAGAATTTCTCTTCAAATCCTAATGGTTAAAAAAAAAATCAGTAATGTTACTAACATACAGCTGCCTTCCCAAGTGGGCAATTTACATATTAAAAGAGATGCATCACACGTAAAACACCTGACATATGCACTCTAATTGTGATCCTGATTTCATAGGTCAAATCTGGCAACTGAAATATCCAAGAATTACTACCTTCCCATTAACATGTCAGTGCTAGTAGTCTAAGAATTTGCTTTTGACAGGTATATATTCAAAAAAGACAAGTTATACTGTAAAACATATCCATATTTTTATCTAGTATTCTACTTAACTGGACCTATTTTAGCATACATTTGGGTGAATGGAAAGCATATTCTTTTGTTAAATGTATTTCTTTAGAAGCTACATCATTGGACTGTACTTCATTATTATGCAGTCATTTAGTTACCTAGTATTTATAGGTTGCTTAATATTTCTGTGGGAAACAGTGAATATTATCAACAAGTCATCCCTGATGGCTGATGGTTGCTTTAAAAACAAGTGACCATTTCTAAAGCAGCAACACACATACAGGTGCATAAAATATCAGTAACGTGAAGCAAAACAAAAAAAAACAACCTTGTTTTCTTGTTTGTTGGCATTTTTTCAAACAATTGAAAATAGTGCTAATTCTAAGAAAAGTTTCACCAAGATACACAAAGGCTGCTTTTCTTTACAAAGCAACAATGGGCAATATTCAATGCAAATCTCTTTGCTCAAAGTTTACACAAGTTTGCATTTTTTCTTCAAAACTTCAGGGCCTATAACCAGCATGCTATAATGTTACAAAAAAGTAGAATATTTTCTGGATGAGGGAAGGGCACAAATTGGGTGAAGCAATACAAATTCATACTGAACAAGCAATTTCAGTTTTGCACAGCTGTAAACATGCTCTAATCTTCCCAGTTGTTTGGAGGGTGTGGGGAGGAGTATTATAAACTTTTTACGTAAAAACAAAACATCCTGGTTTGCAACAACTTGCACTCTCAATTTACAGATTATATAAGGGGATCATGTCCCCAAATGGAAACTTTCAGCATGGCCTTTTATATAAAACAGCAGCACCTCCTTGCAGCCACCTCAGCCCTGTACATAGACCCACAGTTCTGGGCATATTACACAATACTGTACAAAGTATCATTTGAAAACTCGTGATTTGCCGATTACTGTCCTGGTAAAATGTGTGTGGCAACATTTATGTAAGGATATAAGATTCTATAATGTTACCAAGACATGTTCCAGAGGGCAGTCACAAACAAGTTCCCCACAGACAAAAGGCTAGCCAATGCCTCAGCCAGGTGTCAATGGCATCAAAGGGACCATCACCTGATTAAGTAGCTATTCTTCAGCAGGAAAGAGAGTGTGGGCAAAAGATTTACATTTTTACAAAGAAGCAGCTTAAGTAAGGTTCCTGGTCACACTGCTGGTCTGTCTCTGAACATCAGCTGAAGATGATTCTTGCACAAGAGAAAGGGTGGTAAGAGGAGAGGGCACACACCCCAAATCATCTCTTCCTTGCTCTCTACCCACAACTGCATCAACATCTAAAGAACAAAGGAAGCAGCATTGGACTGGGGGAAAAGATCCTGTCGGAAAGAGGCTCAGCTTGTAAGACTGATGGAACATGCGGTGAGAGAGACCTGTGTTTTGTATTTGCTTAGGTGTTATTGCATTTTATCGTTCATTTCTTTGTAACCAATTCTGACTTCTATGCCTCATTACTTGTAGTCACTTATAAATCTTTCTGTAATAAAACACATTTGTTTTGTGGATTTATCTAAACCAGTGTGTTTGGATTGAAGTGTTTGAGAAACTCCATTTCGGCATAACAAGATTTGTGCATACCATTTTCTATTTCATATGAGCTTGTATTGGCCAGAAAGGTGCTGGGTAGTACAAGATGCACATTTCTGGGAGAAGTCTGGGACTGGGAGTTTGCTAGTGTTGCCCTGTAATATAATTTACAAGTGGCTGGACTACAGCACTCAAGCGGTATAGCTGGGAGTGATTTACATTCTGGAGGCTGTCTGTGCACAGACCAGGAGTTAGATTTCAGAGGAACAGCCGTGTTAGTCTGTATTCGCAAAAAGAAAAGGAGTACTTGTGGCACCTTAGAGACTAACCAATTTATTTGAGCATGAGCTTTCGTGAGCTACAGCTCACTTCATCAGGAGTTGTTGCTCTCACAGTGAAGCAAGGTGAAAAGGCAAGCCAGGTTGGGGAATTGAGGGGATACGGCTTTGCATCACTCCAGAGTGTACCCTGGGTAATGTCACACCTGGTTAGCAGGACGTTTGGATGTATTTTCATGTAGCAATTGTTCATCAAAGTTGGGTCATGAGGTAAACAAAACCTTAACACAAACTATAGTAAGTAGGTCACAAGCACCACTTCTTTGGGGGGTGGGACAAAATACAATTATTCCAAAGCAGCTTTGGAATGCTGAAGTTCTGCCTCAGAAAGGAAAGTCAAATCACAATGCAGAAAAGAACATTTAAAATAGTAAGAGTGTCTATTTTTAGAAGAAATTTTTAAGGTGTCTAAAATTGGTTCCAATTTCCATAGGCTGTTATGCAAAGCTGGTTGAAGATAATCTGCTTTCACAAATAAGTTTCCAAATTTCAAACTTGTTTTCAATTCCAGTTGTTTAAAGTGGACCGGATTGTTGAAGTTTTGCAAATTTATTTTTATTTGCAAACATTTGATATTGTCAATAACTTTAAAAATGCAGAGTTTTTCAAAAATGATGAAATTGCTGACAATGCCAAAATCTATTTTGTGAACAATTTTTTTTTTAAATTGAAAGAGGCCACTTTCGGTGAAACTTTTCATTTGAAGAATGAACAGCTTAGACCTCAACTTTAATAGAAAAATAGTGGTTACTAACCTTTCGTAACTGTTGTTCTTTGAGATGCATTGCTCATGTCCATTCCAGTCTAGATGTATGTGTGCCCATGGGCACAGTCGGAGACTTTTGCCTTAGCAGTATCCATAGGGTTGGCTGCAGCGCCCCCTTGAGTGCCGCACTCATGCATCAGGCACCACTGACCCTATGCTCTTTCAGTTCTCTCTTGCCGGCAACTATGACAGAGGGGCAGGAGGGCAAGTAGCTGAATGCACATGAGATCCAGCGGTGTGCCAAACCAGTGCTGGCGTAGCCAAGCCAGCACTACGAGGATCACCTTCACCCTGTTCTGTTGAAATTCATAAGGACTCTGTGGATCAACAGAACTGGGGGAATGGCGAACATTAGAGCCCCCGATCACAGGAGCAGAAAAGCGTCCGACAGAACCTCTGTCAGACCCCTGAAAGGAGCAGAAAACATGGCATTTCCTGTTGTGCCTGGATGCAAACAGCTCCACCCGGAGAGTTTCCCCCACCTGTGGAAGATGATGCTGACCACCTCCAGATGGAGAGACCACTCATGGTGAGATGAGAAGATCCTGCTGAGGAGATCTGCCAAGGTATTCCTGGCGCTGGGGAGGTGTGTGGCTACGAGACGGATGTTGTTTTGTACACAGAAGTCCCATAGCCTGAGGGCTTCTTGGCAAAGGGCAGACAACCTGGCCCAGGCTTGCTTGTTGATATAGAACATAGCTACTGCATTGTCCATCAGGACCTGGACCACCTTGCTTTTTAGGTGAGGTAGGAAGGCATGGCAGGCCAAGTGGACTGCTCTGAGCTCCCCGACATTGATGTGTAGTGAATAATCAAGGTGGGACTAACAACCTTGTGTGCTGAGATTGCCCAGGTGGTAACCGATCCCAGGTCTGAAGCATTGGAGGCTAGGGTAACCGATAGCAGGTGGACTGCGAACGGAACTCCCTCTAACACTGATGCTGGATTTTGCCACCATGCAAGTGACAGGATGTGGTCTGGGACCTTGTCTACATAGTCCATGCTGTGTCTGTTGGGGATGTAGACCAATGCCAGCCATGCCTGCAGCAGACTGGGTTGGAGTCACGTATGCCGAACCCCGTAAGTACAGGTTGCCAGGTGGCCCAAAAACCACAGGCAGATCTGAGCGGTGGTGAGAGGGTGATCTTGTATACACGAGATCAGGTCTGCCATGGCCAGGAACCAGGCCTCGGGGAGGAAAGCCCTGGCCTGAGTAGAGTCGAGTACTGCTCCAATGAACTCTATGCACTGCATCAGGACTAAGGTTGATTTAGCCTCATTTATTAACAGCACAAGGTTGTGACAGGTGGAGCAAACCAGGACAAGATGACTCTGTACCTGATCCCGGGATCGGTCTTTTATTAACCAGTCCTCAAGGTACGGACACCTTTGCGCCTCAGGTAAGCGGCCATTGGCACTATACACTTTGTAAACTCTGAGCCGACGAGAGGCTGAAGGGTAGTGCTGTGAAT